TTTTTTTTTCTCTCCTTTCTTTTTGTGCCGATTGCGTAATAATTATATATTTTTTTTCTTTATCTTATTAGTTATATGGATAAGATGTGAAAATGACGTTGAAAAACCTACTCAAATTAAATGTGGGGTGTATAAATGTGTTGGCTGGAAAATAATTAGTTGGGGATGAAATATGTCAAAATCTATACTTATATAAAAAGTCATCCCATTTATTAGAACTAGTGTGTACCCCGTGCGATGCACGAGAATAATATTAAATTAACAATATTATAAATAGACCTCGAGTTTGAGTCAATGGCGGAAGTGAAAACTATTATTGATCGTATTTAAAAAGAGGAAGAAAAAAAAATAATTATAAATATAAGAGGAGGATAAACAATACTTAATAATTATAAATTAAAGATTCGGGGTCAAACAATGTAAAATGATTTTGTATAAGAGAATATAAAAAAATTCGATTACACACCATTTTAAAATTATTATTATACTTTTTTGTATGGTTAGCTTAGAATATTTGTAAAAATATTAGTAATTAGACCGATGAAAATTAGCTTCTTAAAGTAGATAATAGATTTCTAGTAGTAATTATGAATTAGTTTCTATTTTATTTCATTTTTTCTTTTTAAAGATAATGAATTTCTAGTAGTAATTATGAATTGATTTCTATTTTATTTTATTTTTTCAAATATGTATAGATAAGAGATGAGATTTTTTAAACACCTAAGATCGTATGCAATGAGATTTTGTAACAGAAGAGATAAGCTCGTGTAGATTTATACTAAAAATAGGAAAAAGAAAAACAAATATTTATTGTTAAAACGATAAACTAAGAAACAGGAAAAAGAGAAACAAATCTTTACACAATTAATGAGCGGATTTTTTTGCCTATTCAGATTTGTTCAACAATTACTATATATAAGATATATTTAATGATTTTGGCGGGAAAAAGTTTCTAAATTTGTAAAAAGGTTATTCTTTTTATATAATGATAGATTAGTAGGAAGAAAAGTCAACTCATAATTAATTGCACATCATATTTAGAAAGTTTTAGATATTTTAAATCATAAAATAGGGTAGCATTAAATGCCCCTAAAATTATGGGTTTTGTTGAATTCATTTTTGAAAATTTCGACAGATATTGAATCATTTTTGAAAATTTCGACAGATATTGAAGTGAATATAAAATTCAAAATCTCTTCTCATTTTATTTTTAATAAAACCTGCATCCAAATGCTTCATGCGCTCGTGAAAGATGGGATTAGTTGTGATATGCATAGTCGCTCTATTATCACACCACATAGTAATAGGCAAGGGAAATGTGAGGACCAAGTAAACACAAAGAGTAAATCCATTGCAATTCACAAACCGTGGCTACCATAGCCCGCTACTCTCCCTCGACTGATGATCTAAAAACAATAGTTTGCTCTTTGCTTCTCCAAGAGACGAGATTGGGATCCAAAAAGCCACAATAACCAGTAATGGAATGCCTAGTGTTTTTGCAAGCCGCCCAATCCGCATCACAATAAGAAGGTTTCAGTCTGTAAGAGAGGTGTAATGTAGGCCATGAGAATATGTACCCTTCAAATATTTGACCACCATAATGATTGGATTCTAATGTTCTGTGAAAAGGTTGTTGATAAACTGGCTTAACTGCTGAACCGCATAACTAATGTCTGGCCTTGTTAGGTTGAGATACAACAATCTCCTAATATGCCTTATACATTGATCTGGTGCATCAAAGGGAGTTCCGTCAAATCCAATGAACTTAAGCCCTTGAAGAAGTGGAGTTAAAGGCTCGGTGCTATATTCTAATACCATGTCATGAACTAAATCGAGCACATATTTTTGTTGGCACAACTTTAACCTAGAATCACTCTGCAAATCTCTACTCATAGAAAATACTTGGCAGGTCTGAAGTCCTTAATTCTAAATTCTGAGTGAAGAAAATCTCTTAGAGAGAAAATGAGCTTAGGATTGGAACATATTAATAGGACATCATCTAACATAGACCAGCATAGCTAGACACCCATCATCTTTGGTTTAAGTAAAAAGAAAATGATTTTGGCTTGACCGAACCTGCCTAAATTGAAGCTCCTTCTTAGATAGCTCACAATTTCATTCACTGGAGGCTTGCTTCAATCTATATATATGGACTCTTAATAAGTCTGCAAACTTGCACTGGTTGTCCCTTTTGAAGGATCAAGAAATCAGCAAAAACATTAATGAGAGAGAAAACAACAACTGCTACACAAATGAGGAACATGGTCTTCATTTAATCAATTGTTACTATAGAAGCTTTGTGTACATTCTATATATACAGAGCACGAGCTACCCTAAAGCTACAACAAAAATAAAATAGTTACGTGCAAGTGCATGATTTCATGCATGAGAGAGCCAAGCCTCAATAGCTGGAAAATGCAACGGGAAAAAGGTGTGCAATGTCAATATAATTTGTCATGTAACTTGAGGTTCATGTGGCTTGTCACTCCCCCTCAATTCTTGGACAGATGAAGGGAGAACTTGTAGTTGCCTCTGAAGCCTAGTAAGAATTGGTGTGACAAAGGTTTAGTAAGAACATTAGCCACTTGATCAAGTGTGGGAACATGCTTCACTTTAAGAAGATGATTCGCAATCTGATATCCAACAAAGTGGAGGTGTATCTCAATATGTTTAGTTCGAGCATGAAGAACTGGATTACAAGCCAATGAGATGGTGCTGAGATTATCTATCCAAACTATAGGATTTTGAGGTAAGCTATCATGAAGTTCCTATATAGTATGGGCTGAATCCAGGTGATCTCAGCAGTGGCATGAGCAAGACTCATGTGCTCGGCTTCAGTGCTCAAACTAGAAATGAAAGCTTGCTTTTTAGAGCACAATAGATAGAATTCCTACCAAGGAAGACACAAGTGCGTGTTATGGATTTCCTATCATCCAAATCAGCTCCCCAATCAGAGTTTGAGAAGCCTGCCCTAGCAGGAGAAGAGTTTCTGGTCTAGTGTATCCATGGGTTGAAGTTCCTGCAAAAAATCTAAGGGCGCGCTTGTTTCTCAAATCCGTTCAAATTGAGTTTGTTTTTTTGTTAACCAGAGGTAGTTTTGAAAAATGTGGTATGGTTAGTTATTAGTAGAATTTTAAGAATGTATTAAAATAATATTTAAAATAAAATGATAAATTAATTTGATGTAAAAGTATGAGATAAATGAAAAAGTATGAGATAAATGATTGAAATGATAAATAGTCAAAATTATGTAAGTGGAGTGAATTAAGGTTGATGTGATGTGTGAGAATGATTGATTTGTATTGTTTAATTATATGAATAATATTAAGGGAAAATTACACTTTGCCTACCGAACTATCCGTGTTTTTACACTTTGCCCACTCAACTTTTTCCGGTGACACTTTACCCCTTGAACTTCACATATTCTTGCACTTAACGACTTCCGGCACCGGAGATGCAAAATCAAGGACAAAATCGTCATTTACACCTTAGGAGACACCTCAAATTAGTCTTCATGAGTACACTTTGCCTACTGAACTATTCGCGTTTTTACACTTTGCCCTTGATTTTGCATCTCCGGTGGCCGGAAGTCGTTAAGTGCAAGAAAATGTGAAGTTCAAGGGGTAAAATGTCACCGGAAAAAGTTGAGTGGGCAAAGTGTAAAAACGCGGATAGTTCGGTAGGCAAAGTGTAATTTTCCCTAATATTAATAATAGGGGGTTGAGTTAAAGTTGATTTAGATTTTGAGTATGAATTAAATGTGAGTAAATTAATTTGTAAACAGGCATGCCCTAAGGATCCTCTTTGTTGCCTTTAGGTAAGTGTCAACGGGAGTTTCTGGTATAGTGTTAATGTCTGAAGGCACTGAGGTGTGTGAGTTCTTATTCATGTCAAAATAGTCCATAGACTGTTGAGATTGGACTTGAGTGCAAATAGACAATGATGTGTACTCTTTTTCCTTTTCTTGCACAAGCTTCTTGTAAGGGAATATCTTTTAAAAGAATATAACATCCCTAGAAACAAATCTCATGTTCTCTTCTATGTCATATAAATGACATCCCTTACATCCCACCACATATCCAATGAAAATACACTTGTGAGATCTAGGTTATATAAATGTTATCCCTTACTTCTCTTATAGTTCTTGTTGTTCTCTTCTCTTTCATTATCTCATACCATTAAAACACACCATAATTATATTGTAACTCCGGATTAAACCGTCTTAAAATGTTTATTGTAATCGTTGGTGAACCACCATCAAGATATATAATTTCTGAATATGTTGAGCCTAAGTGGAAGGCTCGCATGCTTCAGGATCTTATTTGTTATACTTCTATGCTTTAGATTGATACATAATTAGGCTTGTGTGCCATGTCAAATGTCCATTAGGCATGGTTATTTCCATAATAAATTAAATATTTTTCTTTATTGAAACAATCATTATTTATTTCATTCCATATTTTTCTTCCATAGTTACCATAATATTTTTCCTTTTATTTTATTTTTTTTCTATTACATATCTTCACTTAAATCAATCATATTAATTTATTTCTCAACCTTTCTCTCCAGTGTTCACATATTACTCATTTCGAAGATTAAGTAATATGATGTTATTCTTTTAAAAATGATCTTTGTTTAAAAGTTAATTGGTATACTGTCAGTCTAATAAATATAATTAATTAATTATCAGAATTCTCGAATTACATATAAAGTGAAAAGAAACATAATTTGACATCCAAATTCTAAAATTATATATGGATGTTTAACTATTATGATTAAAAAAATATAGTTTGACAATTTAATTACACAAATTATTTTAGTTTAAAAAATAAAATAAAAGTTTTAATATTTTTTATATATGCTTCTTATAAATGAATTAAATATGCATTATGTATTACATCAACTAGTACGTAACCCGTGCGATGCACGGAATGTAAAATTTAGAAGAATAATATAACCTCACGTGCATTAGGATCGAAATTGAAATCATTAAAATACAAAGGAACATTGTTGAATCATAAAAAGTTCGGTAACAATCATATATTATTAAAAACCTTATTGTACACAACATTATGAGTTTGATTATTTGGTAACTTCTCATTATCACAAACTAATATTTTCAAAAGAGACAAATCCTAAAAATCAAACTAATATTTTTGGTGAACAAACTAATATTTTAGGATTGGTGAACAAACTAATATTTTAGAATTTCTAAGATTTGTCTCTTTTTGGTCAACAAACTAATATTTTACGATTGGTTATATGAATAAGGCTACCTGTTTTTGGTGTTCTTTTCATTCATTTTCATTCAAACAATTCGATGACTTGTATAATGAAATCCGAATCTTAAGCGAAATATTTAAAAAAAAAAAATTTTAAAAATTGAAAAGTCAAGGCAATCAGTTTAGATTAATTAAAGGTCAAAGCATATCCGCTCCTTGAAATAAAGACGTGTGCTATCATTAACAAAATATCTGGTTATTGATATAGAGTGGTTACCAAAAAATAGAACGCGATAAGGACGCTTCATGGAAATATCAATGGGATAAGGTCATAACAGATCGCTATACATTTTAACGATAAAAGCTCAGATGGAATAATTTATGATAATTATGTCGTAATTATCGAATTAATTAGATGTGTGAAAATAACATAATTAATGAGAAGTGTGAAAAGGACATAATTGATGAGAAGTGTGAAAAGGACAAAAACTTACCAGTTTTGGAAAATATTTAATGCAAATCAAACATTGACCATAATTTGACCTACTATTTTGGATAAATGTTAATTCTTATTATATAAGTATAGATTATATAATATAAAATAAAAATTATTATATTTAAATTTATTATATTATAAAAAACAAATGACTGATTTGACTGCCTGCCGCCGTACGTCGGTCAATGCGATCAACGGAGGAAAAAACTAAAATCAGAAGCAAATGAGAAAAATAAACGTACAGCTTCGACCTTATTGCTATAAGCCCACACACATTAAATACTCAAGTTTCAACTTGTGACCGAAATCCACTTGTTAGTGTTGGAACAAAACAATTGCTGGAACTGGACTGCATCTGAGATGGAAGCTAATCTTAAGGCTGTCAGGTGGGCTTTAAACATTGCTGTGGATAGAGGATGGCTTGCAGTGCACTGCTCCTTGCTGTTTGATAATCTGGCTGATGCTTTGAATAGGGATGTGGTTGATAATCTGGCTGATGCTTTGAATAGGGATGTGGTTGATAATCTGTTTGATTTATCTTGTATATTGTTATTTGAGGATATTATGGTTTTGAAGTCTTATTTTCTTTTGTGTAGTTTTAGTGGTAAGGGTCCTTTAGAAGTGGTTTAGCCAAAATGGCTTTGGAGGGGAAATAATTTGTATTCCCCTGCAGTATACCTCTCTTGCTGATTGTTAGATGGTTTGTAATGTTCAGTTGAACTCGACCTTGTAATTTCTGAGTTTAATTCATTCTTATTCGT